GTGTATAGCGTAATTTATATTTTGAAATACATGTGTGTGTGCTCAGCTCTCTTACTACCATGGAAAGGTGGAGTTGTAAAGGTAAAGAGCACCCAAGACCTCCGACTCTTACAATCTAGTCCAAGCTGAACCCACACGGTTATTCTACAGAATTCCCCACCTTTCTCTAAGAAATGGTAGAAGTTATACGGGTTACAGTTTGCCTACCTGTGTTTTTCACCCTAGTTATGAATCAAAAAACAGTTTCAAAAACTTTACAGCAGTTCCATTATCTGGATTCTAGTACTTGTGTGAATGTATCTATATATCACAAAATGTTACCATACATTGTAGTAAGCAAATGTCTCAAAGGTCCAGTCACCATGGAAATCAATTGGGTCTCTGAATATTTATTACTTTCCCCCTCATGTTGATAAATATGACCCATTGTTTCACAAATGAGATGACCAGAACAACATGAAAATGTTAATAATAACAAAATGTGTTTGTTAAATCACTAGATAAACAAGCATAAATTGATCCAAAGTAACAGAATTTATAAAAGACATTAACATCATTACAGCAAATAAAGTAATATTATGAGCCTGGAAATTATATAATATATTATATGATAGACAGACAGAAAGATAGGTAGACAGATGGACACATACATACATTGCGCATGTATTAATTAACGGCATACAAAACAGATAAACAGATAGGTATTTTGTAAAGTATATTATACTGACTAAATCTGCCCTGGTGGTTTTTCAAAGGTTGTCACAGGCTCATCATATTGGTCAGACCCCAGACACACATCCACAATAAATCCTTCATTTTAGCAGAAGTGCCTTCTGCATTGTGACGGGGGACCTCTGACACTGGAAAGAGTCTAATCAAGGCAACTGAATTCATTTTGTTATGTATTATATCACAAACTTAGAATGGGTAAGTGAGCTAATTTTCCGATTGATGAATGGGTCATCCAGATAATCCCATGAGCACAACTGGTCCCTGCCATAAAAGCTGAACAACTGATGGTCTGCAACAATTTTCAAAATAGAAATAAAATCAAAAGATGAAATAAAATATATCCATTCAGACTAACAAAAGCTTTGTCTTGAATAATATTATTAAGCAGAAACCATGCAATCTTTTGATATATACCTAATCCTTAAATAACTAGCAATTATGTTATTTTCTGTATCTGAAAGAGTAACCGCTCTGCACACTATGAAACTTCCCTAAAACAATTCATTGTAAAAGAAGCAGATATTCACAGTACCATTTACCATTTAGATTCTAAATTCCTGAAACTTCACTAACCATAAACACAAGTTAGTGTGCAAGACTATGGTATACTGTATTTAGACATCAAGGGTGCTAGATTCTGCTGTATCTACTTGATGGCACTTGCGAGAATTAAAAAAACAGAATCGAATGTAAAAATAAATAAATAACATTAAACCATGGCACCATTAGAAAAAATGTTTAGTGTCAAAACAAAATCTGATATGCGTCATAGCGCCGCTGTATTATTTACAGCTTACAAGAGGAGTTTATAGCTCTATTCCGATAATCTCCCAATCCCTAGCTTTCATCTGAAGACATATCTGCTTTTTTATTTTTTTTTTGTATTTTTTTTTATTTTGTATACATATATTTCTAGACCATAATCTCTGTCTTATTGTCTCTTTCATATTATCTCAGCGAGCATAATTGGGGAGATTTCTCCTTAAGTTATCATGCATCTCAAGTACCACAACTTTGTAATGATATATCTGGAGTTTTGTGTCTTTTGTGTGTTGGTGATAAACAGATGCCGGAGCCAGTTTTGACTATTCTGCTCATGTTTATTATCCAATGAGCAGTGAGATTCTCTGTTAATTACCCAAGCTACATGCATGCATTGTCATCTTATTGCTGGCTTTCACACTGTGTATGTGTGGGGACTTCATTGAAGCTACACTTACCATCGCAAAACACCCCATTGTAGTGTACTATGGGATTCGATTAAAACACAAATGATATGATTATTCCGTGAAATACGTCTCATTTGAGATCTAATGGACTAACCAAAGGGCAAGCTTTTAGTTTTGGGTCCATATTCAGGGTTTTCCATGTTTTAGCCCAACAAAGGCAAGTGATGGGCAAGCTAGTTGAGTGTTGTCCCATTCTCAATGTTCTCTTGAATCATATGCATTTCACTTTTTCCAAGTAATGTCATTAAGAACTAAAACTCCATAACTCCAGTAGTGACAAGGTCTAACGGTCTCATCATTAGATAAATCACCAGGAACATGTTGAGTTACTTAGTTATTACTGTTTTACACGGACACATAATGCCAGTTCGCCAAGCTCTCTAATGCCCATCCCTATTATTCTGATTATTGGGAGGTGCTGTTGCTAAAAATAGGACACGTTAAAACCTATTAAAATCCACTGAAAAGAAACATCTTCAGTTTGTAAATTTTTTGAATAAATGTTAATCACAGCCTTAGATTTTCATTTTAGACGCATGATCCAAATTAGTAAGAAAAGAAAAAAAACGTATGGAAACTGTGTACCTTTTAAAACAAATATTAGGAGGAAGCATTCTCCTACGACGTGTCCAGGCATTATACAACAATCCACAACGGAAGTTCGAGTTAATGTTTATAAAATCCCCAAACATAGAATAAGGGTGCCAGACACATGTCAAATCCTTTAAAAAAGTATATGGAAAAAATGATCTATGCTATAAGATGCCTAAAATAACTCTTAATAAAAAAGGTCAGTCACTGAATGATAGAATTGGAAAAAAGTTTCAAACTTTGGATCAAATTATAAACCTCTCTAACTTGGTTGCCTTTTGCCAGATACTTTAGCTTCAGTCCTTTACGGAACATGCAACACCTCTGGCCACAGTTTTACTCAAAATGTAAAATTAATTTGGCTTAAAAGTTAAAAAAGTTAATGATACAATAATCAGTAAAGATGATTTTTTTTTTTTACGTATTACATTTAATGTGTGACATTTTGAAAATATTCTCTGTGTAATATTTAATATTTATTTGCATCAAACTCCTCTATTTCATAATAACAATATCAATGCGTGACCTTTTACTCAATCTTATTGCAGTTCAGTGATACAGCATCATTTTGAATGATATATAGAAGCCATGACCTTATGATAAAAACACAACAAAATGAAAATATTTCAGAGTTCTGAGCTCACTTTGTTTCAGTAATAATTAAGAAAAAAACTAATTAATTGCCATTGTGCTGACGTGACACATTTAAGAGGTGTATTCGGAAACTTAACATCAATCAGTTTAGCTTGCTAAAAATCTGTGAAGACTGTGTCTCCTTTTTAATTTTACAAAAAGTGCATATTTCAATTAAAATTGGCACATTTATAAATTAACCTTGTTACACCTCCACGTCTGTCAATCAGGCACCCAGTCATGTTACTTCCTAGTTTGTTTAGCTCAGTGAAGCTAATTTTAAGAGGCAGCAATTATGCACAGCACCTGCTTTGCAAAGACTTCTCATTAAGGTGCATCAGGAAGTCTGTGATTGGACAGCCGCATTCATTCTTGGTGGGGTTAGAAGGGGAGGGCTTCCAGAGGCTGCAGACGAGAAAACTGCAACTTTTACAAACTGTTTATAGATATACCCCAATGACAAAATGCATAATTAAATGCATGCATGTTTTACTGGTATATATCTACTAAATAGTGATTAAAAAAATATAGGTAGTGTAGTGTCCCTTTTAGTGTAAAATTATAATAAACTTCTGCAGCTTAAGTCCTCCAACACTGATATGTTGGGAAAAAACAACACATTTTTTAAAGTTGGCTTTCTGTAAATTATTTATGAATACCTCCCAAATGTATATATTTTCCCATTTACTTCAAACTCAAGGGTTTTTTTGTTTTTTTTTAAATGACAAGGTTTATAAACTCCCACACCTATTTTGATAACAGACCCAATTTAAATCCCAGCAATTAAATATACCTCTTCAAGATCCCAAACTAGACATATTTTGTCCAGTGCAGCACATACACAGCTTGATTATCTGTGCATCGTACACACGGAGAACGTAAATTAACGAATGGTATGGCTTCTAAAGTCTGGGCCCTTATATATCTATGGCAGGCATTCACACCCACACATGTTGGAGGTATAGGCACGTGTTTACTGCTCAAAGAAAATTATCAGGATTTATACATCTCTCCCTAAATATTACAGCACCGGAAAATAAAATTTTAACGCAATCAACAACAGCAGCCACCATCTTTAATCACAGGGTGGCGTTAAAATATTATCACCAATAGCAGCTCTTATTCTTGGGGAAAAGCTGTGTCTAAAGTCTGGAATGTAGTCATCCCACTACAGGATGACATCTTTGGGAAGTGCTCTGAAGGGGTTAAAGAATCTTTTAAAGTGTTTTGTACCTAAACTCCCACAGCGAGACTATGATAAATAGCCCACTTTTGAATACGGATAATCATCGTTCATCACGTGACCTCCTACACATATGTGAATGCGTCACGCATTTCCACACACTCCAAAGATCTAATCCCAGCATGAATCGTCTGTCTCTTTGAAAGGCCCTCAATGTTGATCATGTTAAGCTGAGGACTTGACATTGAAGTACAGACACTATCATTATTTCCTGACTTGTTATGGACATATATTGCAGGGGGACTGACAAAAAAGGACATGATTAATGCTGATCCATATCCATTAAACACAAAAATGATGATTAACACTTTGAGTTCCAGTATGTGTTGCCTTTTGGCACTTAAAAATGATGAACACTCAAATTAATAGTAACTTTGTGATTGTAATAATAAATATTTACTTTCAATGTCGAGGACATTCAAAGGGTTAAATCATTCAACACATGTAACCTACTGGGTTTTATTATTTTGTGTCAAATAAAGATACATTTCTATTAATACATTAACAAATGTACAGAGCCGAATCATTGCTACACCCCCGCATTAGACAGACAGCAAAGATTATTACTACCGCTAATTGTCTGATCCAAAATTCAACCTTAAAAATACCACCAGTTTCTCTCCATATCTCCATATCTCTATATCCGGAATCATGATCATTAACCCTCCTTGGGATGGAGAGGAATAATACACAGTACCAGGCTCAAATGTAACTCCTCTAAAACAAGAGCTATTTACTTTAATATGTGGCCATTTCTAGAGTAACACATGCCCATCATGAACCATATGATTTCAAAGTTAACGTAAGGGATAGTTTACGTAGGAAAATAGAGAGACCACCCACTCTCATCTATACATAGCTGGACCAGCAATGTATACCTTTAACTGTTTAAGTAAATGAACAAAACCACACATCCTCTATTTACATTTTCCAAAGTCATATGCTTTAATATAAGAGTCTGGAGAGTGACAATGAGCTTGGACCTATAACACAAGAGGTTAAAATACGTTTGGGCTGAAAAGACATCTAAGCTTTTAATCTACTCAGGGGGTTGAAATGTAACAATAGAGAGTCCCCATTAATCAATAAATTCCTAAACCTATAGACATTTAGCCCAAATGAAACAAACATTAGAAAGATGCACACCAAGTCAAAATGAGTTAACATGACAAGCCGTTTGATTAATATACATCTTAATTACACAAGGTACAGTCGTAACGGTGCTATAATGATCCCTTTGAAAGTCAGACATTTTGAAAAAACAAGGAGTTTCAACTGCAGTCATGCAAGATATGAAAACAAGCAATAAGGGGTTTAAATGGCAGTCATGCGAGAAAATGGAAAAAGACCTCTGTTATGCAGAATGTACATCTAGAATCAATGTTTTTTTAAACCGTTTGTATGCCAGTATGGAGCAAATCAAGAAAGTACACTCGCAGGTACTCAGAGGGTTAAACATTTTAGTCCTAAGCACACTGCAGTTTCCTGAGAGACAGAACTGTAAAGTATCAACACATGATCCTTCGAAAAATGTCCATAGTAATGAGTGTAGATTCATAGATGCACAAAAACACAGCTCTACAAAACCACAGAACATCAACAACAGTTGTTTGATTTAAATAAACCATTGTGTATGTGTTTTGTCTTTTTTATTTTCAATAAGTGACTCTGAGAAACTATTGTTTGAAAACTCCAAGAGGAAGGAGCTCCTTCTATGCAATTCTGCCCACTAACGACAGATCTCGTGCTTTTGGCTAAGTAGTCAGAGCCTGTCTTTGGCTAGCATCGGAAGCAGTCGGAACAGCAGTAGAGCCTTCGTTAGCAATGCACAGCGGATACATTTACAATTAAACAGGCACACATCACATAATCTCATTGCAATCTGCAATTTGTACAAAGAATTCAGAAAAAAAAAAAAGAAAGCCAGGAAAGAACGAGCACAGCATGATGATATGGTCTGATTAAAAAAAAAAAGTACATGCAATTTTCACTTACCCTGAAATTCTCCCACACCTTTTGAGCTGCTCATGCAGTTTTCCAGATAGATCCCATCTTTAAAACAGTCTTCCTTCTTCTTATTTAACCCTGTTATCTCACTAGGATGAATCTGACTCTGAACCTCCCCTTCATGGCAAGAACAAGGAGTCTGCATGATGCCGCAAGGGTGAAAACTGCTACTGCTAGTGAGACAGGTGTCCAGCCATTTGCAGAGCATTTGGCAGGCAGCTTTGCTGGGGTTTCTGTTGCCCAGAACAAGGTATTCCAATGAGAAATCTGTCCCTTGAGGCTTGATGGACCTCCACTGCAACTGTGCACCTTCCAGGAGGGGTACAGTCTGTTTCATCTGCAAAAACTGTTTACTAGACTGAAGGAAAGCATACTCAACAGAACTGTCACACAGTTTCAACACATCGTCAAAACTTTCCATCCCCAAGTACGTACGAGTGGACTCCAGAAACGAGTCAAACTGTGAGGTTCGTATCTGCTGATGGTCGCATATGCCAGAAGGTTTTGATACTTTCATATACAAAGTATATCTCCTAGGATCTGGATTCTGGATAATCCACGAACACACTGATGAGTTCAAAGGAAAGACAGACGAAGAGGAAAAATATCCAAAAAATTTACCCTGAACCAGTGTGGTGCACGGATTCTGTCCCAAGTCAAGGCTGGCTGCAGTCCACCCAAAAAAAAGTGAAAATATGAAAAGCAGGTTGTGGGAAAATGCAACGAACCTCATCCTAGGTCTCTGGTCCTTTGGAATTCAAAGTAATTGTCAGGCAGGGGCCAGATCTTGGACATAACAGGTGCAGCGAGAGAAAAAGAGACAGTTTATGAGGCTTGTGCGAAATTAATCCAGCCTCCGTATGCTTGTCTCAGGCTCCACCGTGTGGCTAAATAGGAAATCTGAGAAAAGAAAGAAAAAAAAGGAATTTAACTCTTCATATCCCCAAAACATTTTTATCCTAAGCACAAATGGTATTTAGTGAATAGAAAACATACAAGGGGATCTAGAACGTGGATTCTTTCTATAACAAAGTCCGACTTAACACTGATCTAGTAACTAGAGACAAATCACAGAATTATCGCTGGTGCAAGGTCTGTGCAATAATACATTTCTGGAAATTTGAAAACAAGACAAAACCTGTGACCTCTAAAAAAACTATGGAGATATTTGGAATTATTATTATTTTTATTAACAGAAAGACCTCCAGGCCAGGTGATAATTACTTTTATAGTTTGAGTTCAGGAAACATTGTGTAGAAGAAACAACCTTGAGAATCAAGCTGTTCGAGTGGATGTATGCAGATTACCTGGGACAATTTCCTTATCTCTACTTTCAGATGCTAGGTTGTTTTTTTTTTCTACTTCTTTCCCAATCATGTGCAATGTCAAAAATCAAGAGAAGTAATGAATGCAAAAAAATGTACAAACGTGTATGAAATCAGATATGAGCTTATGTGATTATTATATATTCATCAAGAAGAATCACTATGTTACAAAGATGTCATAACTCTTCAAACGTCAGTTCAGAATATATTGAATACACAGTACACTTTACCTTTTATATACGTCACCTCCTGTAGAATACAAGCTCAGTGGGCATATGGCTCACTGTATAGAAGTGTGTGATATAGACAACAGACAGATTATCAGTTAGAGGGTAGTAGTTAGGGGCTGCTGCTAGTCACACTGTGCATTTTTCTAAAGGATAGGTATAGTGTGCACATCGTTAATATTAACACAGATTTTATAAAAAGAAAGACACGCAATATGAATAAGGGGATTCTTATCTGGACTACAATTCCCATAATTCATCCAATTTTCATATTGCAATAAAAGCTCTAGCTAGGCACTGAATTAAGGGAGTTGTACTCCATCAGAAGAGTGGCCACAACCCACTGTGTGTGTGGACATCAATTCACAGCCTTTATTTAATCCAAAATGATTAAATTGTTGGTTTTTTTAGAAGATCATCTGTTTAAATAAGCAATATGATCATATTTGGGTATGATTGTCAGTCTTAGTAAATCACAGCCTACAATGTCTGGGGACCTGAACTCCCAGATATGTCCATAAAGTTTAATATATTAAATTGTTCCTTAATGTGGTCGTCAGCAGTTTATGAATGTAAAAGGATTGCAGCTCATCCCACAGACAGCGTTATCCGGCTCTTCCAGAATGTATGAGATTGTTGGAGACACACATTACTAAGGCTAAGACTGGCACTGCATGTCTAACTAGACAGAATAAGCATGGCAGTGCCTGGTTTACTCTAAACTCCTAATCCAAGACTGTCTACATCACTGGGGATTAATCCCTCCCCAACCATTCCCACAGCTCTCATAAAGGACCTTTTATAAAGACGATTTTAACCCTTCCTGTGCAGATGGCAGAGAGTTGTGAATGTAGTCTATTGCTGTCTATTCCTGTTCTGTCTTTAGCTTTAAAGCATAGGCGTGCGCACGGGGTGTGCCGGGTGTGCCTGGGCACACCCTAATCCCCGTGGCACGCCTATGGCTTGAGTCCTGCAGGAACAGCGTTCCTGCACTTTTTTTGAGCAGGAACGCTGTTCCTGCAGGCACTCAGCGCCCCCCTGTCTCACCTCTTGCCCCTGCCATGGGGGAGGGGGGGCAAGAGGTGATGGATAACCCCCCCGCCCCGCAGTTCAGCCGCGGCGAGGGAGCTCTCTGCTCTCTGCTGTCTGCTCCCTCTCGCCGCGCGCTGATGCCGGGAGCCGGAATATGACGTCATATTCCGGCTCCCAGCTCCAGCAGACAGCCCGCGCGGCGAGAGGGAGCAGAGAGCAGAGAGCTCCCTCGCCGCGCGCTGACCTGCAGAGAGGCGCCCGCCCCCACTGGACCCCAGGGACAAGTCCACCAGCACTCCAGGTAGGAGGCTGGGTGGACATTTAAAAAAAATATATATATATAATAATGTGTGTGTGTGAGTATGTGTGTGTGTCAGTGTGTGTGTGTCTGTGAGTGTGTGTCTGTGAGTGTGTGTATGTGTGTGTGAGTGTGTGTCTGAGTATGTGTGTGTGTCAGTGTGTGTGTGTCTGTGAGTATGTGTGTGTGTGTGTGTGTCTGTGAGTGTGTGTCTGTGAGTATGTATGTGTGTGTGAGTGTGTGTCTGTGAGTGTGTGTCTGAGTATGTGTGTGTGTCAGTGTGTGTGTGTGTCTGTGAGTATGTGTGTGTCAGTGTGTGTCTGTGTGTGTGTGTGTTTCTGTGAGTGTGTGTGTGTTTCTGTGAGTGTGTGTGTGTTTCTGTGAGTGTGTGTGTGTGTCTGAGTATGTATGTGTGTGTGAGTGTGTGTCTGAGTATGTGTGTGTGTCAGTGTGTGTGTGTCTGTGAGTATGTGTGTGTCAGTGTGTGTCTGTGTGTGTGTTTCTGTGAGTGTGTGTGTGTTTCTGTGAGTGTGTGTCTGTGAGTATGTATGTGTGTGTGTCAGTGTGTGTGTGAGTGTGTGTCTGTGAGTGTATGTGTGTGTCTGTCAATGTGTGTGTGTGTACATATATATACACATATATATACACACATACACACGCAGAGCCGGCGCTATCTGAGTGCCGGCTCTGCTCTAAGCCTTCATGGGCCGGCGGGGAGACCAAAGATCTACCTCACCGGCCCACAGCAGCTTGGAGGGAGGCAGTAGAGGACCCAGGGAGCTCTAGACAGAAGCTCCGCCAGGTTCCTCTCGCGATATCTGAGCGTTGCTGTGGCAACGCTCAGATCTTGCGAGAGTTAACTCTAGCCCCGCAGGCTAGAGTTCACTCTCCACTGGACCACCAGGGATGGCACATGGCAGCAAGGATTTACTAATCTGCCAAATCCCTCCAAACATACAGTACACACACATACAGCACCTACACACATACAGCTCACACACACACAGTACACTAACCGCACCCTCACAAACACACACAGCACCTTTAAAAAAAACACAACACCCTCACACACAGCACACTAACAGCACCCTCACAAATAGCACCCTCACAGGACAAACATACACACACAAACACCCCCACACACAAACAGCACAGTCACAAACACGCACCCTCACACACACATAACACTAACAGCACACAGCACACTAACAGCACACACAGCAGTGTGTGTGTGTGTGTGTTTATATATATATATATATATATATATATATATATAGAGAGAGAGAGAGAGAGAGAGAGAGAGAGAGAGAGACATACACACTTTGCAATTGCACACCCTAATGCAATTGGCTGCGCACGCCTATGCTTTAAAGGGTTAGTGGAATTAAAGGAACACTCCACACACATAAATACTTCAGCTCGCTTTATGTGTGAGCAAATGCTCGTTTTAATTGCAGTTTATAAAAGTGTTGATTTTTATCATTTTCTAAATAAATGTAGGAACACCTTCTAGGCTGTCAGTTAGACAGCCAC